TAGTCATCAGCTCAGCTGGCTTGACCTGGCATGATGCTGGCCACCAGTTTTACCCACTTACACCATATCAGTATTTGTGTTATTTTGAAAACTTACACAAATTAATTCTCCTCTGACCTTCTTGCTCTTTCTGAATATTTCAAGACTTGTTTAAAAACAAGGCTACGCTGCAGCCAAGTCTCTTAGGATTCTTGCTCTTTATCCCTAGTCCAGCATCCTCGTCCTGCAATGAACTCAAAAGTCATGCTGCCTCTTTCCAAGCACTCACAGTTCAACAAATTCAAATCCAGAATTTGTTTTTAATATTTGGCTCTCCTGTCTGGTCATTATCTGTAATACTTAGGGTTTGTTTCTGACGCATTTAAAACCCCTCGCTTTTTGTATTTCATCCCCTCTCTGCTGATTGCCGTCAATTTCTTTTTTCCTGTTTGTCACACCTGCTAGTATGTTTAATAGCAGTTTTCCCTAAACGAGGCTTATTAAGCATTTAACTAAACTCACCCATTTCACAGCTGTGGGTTTTGGTCATCTAGTAAATGCTTTTTAAACAGATCTCCATTTTACTTCACAGATTTTCTATTTAAATGTTACCTTTTGATCCAAGTCATCGTGCCCATCAACTCTGGGGGCACTAAGACCTACACCAGAGCTGGAACCATCTCCTTAGCCTGATTCTAATGAAGCCACCAAATTCCAATCCAGCGACAAATTTGTGTTTACCCATGACACAGATGGGCATTCAGAAACGCATTTCCAAAACCAATGTTCTCAATCACAATTTTCAGAGACTCAGATTTTGTTTGCTTGTAGGTTGCGCGAGCTCTGCAATCTGCCTCTCCAAATTAAAACCTCTAACAACATTGTTTTCTTCATCCCCTTTGGCAAATTTGTGACAAGTCCTTGGCTGTCTGGATTGGTCTGACGGTCTGTGACAGCCTCCCCAGGAGCTTTTGAGCTTTGCTAGTTCGCCTGCTGACGCATGGGAGAGTCAACACCAACTTGTAACCCAGCCCCTGGTCACGAAGCGTCGGGATGGAGCACGCTCCCACCTCTGTGCCCTTCCAGTGGAGGCCGTTATTTACTATCGCAATCACAGCCTCTCATCCTGCTTGTCTCAGAAATGCCACTGTCACTGACTTTCTTCCAATTCACGAAAACTTCTTACCCGACCTCCTAGCAGGAGCACACACGCAGTTAGAGGTTTTCTCCCTGCTCCACTCTGGAAGCTGAGTTGCCCCACGAAAACCAGATCAGTGGGATGTGTGTCCATCCCGCATGGGCGGGGGGGCTCACCCAAAGGGCTGCATTGCCCCCCAACTCCTCCTCGACGAGGCTCACCTGCCAGCATCCCCCGCAGCGCGGCGCAGCCTCGCAGGGTGCCCAGGCTGCTAACGCAATCTGAAGAGGGACGTGCTGAGGACAACCCCTCGCACAGGCTGGGTAAGCAGGAATCTCCAACTGGAGCTGCACCCACAGGCGAGAGGAGCCCAGCCCCAGGCTCACAGCTCAGCAGAGTCAAGCAGTGACTCAGGACAAAACAAACCAGCTGCAAATATTCCAAGTATGTGGACGCCAGGAGAGGAGGAGCCACTGCCTGCTATGAGAGGAGAGGGGATGAAACTAGGGCAGGGAATGATTAATCTGAGTGAAAGGCTAAACTCGCTGCCAGGATCAGGATCTGGCCAGGGTGAAAACTCTCACTCTGGACACTGGTAATAAACCTGTAACAGAATAGATCCACTGCTCCAAAAGCAACAGACGGGATATATTCCGTGGCTCGCTGCTCTTCAGGAGGAGCAGGGGCTGCAGCAGAGAGGTGCCATGGCAAAAGAGGACTTCAGCCCACAGACGTGAATTCTTGGCAGAGACCTGAGACCAAGGAGAAGGAGATAGATCCAGACAAACCATAAAAATGAGCCAAACAGGGACAGTGTCAGAGCCACTGGGACAGCTTGATGTCTCAAAGATGTCTCATGCAGAGCCTGCTTGGTGGGGACGTCTCTACGCCATCATACCAACACAGCCCCGGCGCATTCAGCATGAGCAGGGGATGGTCCCAACCCGTGATGGAGAAAACAATGAAGTAATGCGATGGCCTGCAAAGAGCTAACCTTCCAAAGCTGAGACGGAGCACCAACAAAAGTGATCCTGAACAAAAAGACTGATGGAAAAAAGAATGAAAACTGGAAGTTCTTTAAGAGGATGTTTTAAATAGATAATCCAAAAAACCCACAGTTATGTGAGCAAGAAAGAGAACAATATTGATGAAAAATCTCTCCCAGGTCTGTGTTTCAATAAAGGCAGCAAAACAAATAAATGAATGAAAATAGGTAACCACATAATTGACCACAGACCCACCAGGAACTATGAAGTACAGAAAAATAAGAAAAGAAAGATATCAAGAAAAATCCACAGATAGTAGAATGAAGAATTCACACTTAATTTTTTAAATGAGAAAATAAAATGTTACTTTATAATAGACACTTATTTCCACCCAGGACAAGGGAAACCCTTTTAATGACGTAATTCCACAAGTAAACAGCAACAGAAAAATTCTTTATAAATTTGGCAAAAAGGCAGAATCATACAATAAATATTGTTTCTTTCCATCTCAAAAGCAGAAATAAGACCTTGCTAATAGGCACCTCAAAAGCCCATTGACAGTGGACAATACCCAGAAAAGAGGGCATGCCTAACCAGATCCTCCACGGACTGTACTTAGTTTTGATCCTACATAAAATTTTGAAAGTAAAGGGAAAATCACTGCTGTCATGTAGAGTCCTGAACACCAACCCAACACTGAGTGACCCAACGTATTCTGAAAATACCCACCCAGAACACCTCGCCCAGCTCTGAAGTCCACTATTTTAAAAGAGTAAAACTGAAAAAAACTGAAAAATGAGTGAGGATCGGGAAAAACAAACACTGAAAAGTCTTCCCATGAGTCTTTGCCAGGAGTATTTTAAGACTCTACTCACTACAAAGAACCGAAGACTAAAAAATTATTTAATTACAGTACCTGCCTGAGAAGAAAATACCATGAACTAAAAAGCTCTAATTTAGTAGAAAAACGTTGGTTGGGGGCTCAGAGCTGAAATGCAACTCGTTAGCACGCAAAACATGTAAGAGTGATGGTGACTAAGCAGCAAAGCTGTGACAGGAGGGTTCTCCTTCTGTTGATGTGGCAGGCAGACACATCTGAGTCACGTCCCAGAAGAGATGCTCTAACCAAGTATCTGTCACCGGCTGCACCGCAGAGCAGCCTGCAACAAGTGTAATAACCCCGCCTAGGGAAAAGATCAGGCCATGTCATCTCTAACGGGGCTTTCCACTCCTAAATTTTGTTACCCCGTGGAGAGGAGGAAGAACCTGGGAGAGAAGCAGGCAGCGTTAGAAAAGGTGCCTGGAGCACAAAGACAGGAAAAACCAGAGCAGACTTTTCCTAGCCGCTGGACAGGAGGGTGCCTGCCACCAAGCACGATGGGAGGGCTTTTGGGGAGGCTCCCAGGTGCTGGTGAGGTCTTACAAGGAGGCAGCAAAGACCGTGGGTGTACGCAGTGTCTCAGTTAACATCAGAGGAGCGAAGGCTCACTCGGCATCGCAGTCTATCTCCTCAGCTCTTGCAAAAGCTGGCCAGGCCAGCGCTGCTCCAGTCTCCTAAGGCGCTATGGGCCGTTCTCCCTCTGCTCCTGGCTCCTCCTAGACTCCCCACTGCCCTTTGGACGCCCTGGCGCTGCAAAGCCTCTCCTTTCCCTCACCCTGGGGACACAGCAGAGCAAAGTCCCACCCTGCCAGGGCGGGCAAGAGCACAGCCACGCAGCCGGCAGAGCTTGCTTAATCGAATACCTCCAGAGGACAGATTTCACGCTGTGTAAGCCGACAGGCAGCCACAGCCTCCCGCTCTGCCACCTCTTTGGCTGCTGCGCTGCGGTGTTGTTCTCCTCTGAGTTCCAACCCCCCTGCATGGAGAGTCCACACACGTGCCCGAGGGACCCTGGCAGAAAGGGCGCAGAAGCAAACAGGGTTTCAGGCACACTGCTGCCCAACGGGGAGGCCAGTCCACCAAGAAATGCTGCCTAGACCCTGCCACCTTGCTGTCCCTTCCCCAACACACGCTAATACCCTTGCAACAACGCGCCAAGCCCCATGAAGCCGTCTGCAGCCGACTGGCCCAGCCACAGGGACAACAGGATGATCCTGCCTGTGCCAAGACAGGCTGAGCCCTCCAGCTTCGGTGTGTCTCCAGCCCCAGGGTGCTGGTGATGGACTGGAGACCCAGGGATGGCTCAGGCACCCAGGACACAGCACACATAGCGCGGGCAAGGGATCTCTGCGGTACCGAGGTGCTGGCAATGCAGCAGGTATTGTTCCCATCTGCGACAGGCCCCAGACGTGTAGGTGTCCCCGTGCTGCCCATGTGTGATGATGCAACTATAAGCACTTGCCCTGTGCATACGTCCAAGTGCTACAACAACAACTTCCCCTATTTCCTGCTCGTGCTGCCTGGAAACAGCTGCCATACTCGCCCTCCACAAGGTCCGGAATTTGTCCCCACACAGAGGATCCGTCCATGATGGGTTATAAAAGTAAAACAGGCAGTGGGAATCACCCCAGCACTTCACCCTTTCCCCCCATGAGGAACCTCCTTGGGGTCCTGAGAGAGCAGACAAACCAGGGCCACAGGTTTCAGGGTGTAGCCAAAACAACTCGGGACACAGATGGAGGAGCGACTGAGAGGACAGCAGTGAGCTGTGGGTCTGTGCTGCCTGGGCTTCCCTCTCACCTGGGTCGCTGCGAAATGGGGGCAAGAGCCCTGGCAGGACATGTAGGTGACTGTACAGAGGGGTTACGATGATGCCCGTTTCAGCGAGCCCCAGGGTTTCCCCACAAGAGCCCAGCCATGCCAAGCACCTGTGCGTGCCAGAGTCCTGGTGTTTCCCCGGTGCCAGGGTAGGATGAAGGCACGTGGCAAGTCAACTGCCCAGCATTTCCCCACATACCTCGCTTCTCCTTCCTGGTCTGCACAAACTCTGAGTGCCGCAGGGCGCTGGGAGCCGTCCGTCTGTAGAAGCTGTTTCGCTGCAGCATGGAGCCCACCCTGTTTGTTTCCTTGGCCTCCTGCTCCCAGATCTGGCTCCAGTCTGGCCGGCCTGTGCGTACCCTTGCCCATTCTGCTCCGCTGCTGCTCCTGGCTGGCATCCCGGGCCCTGGAGCTGCTTCTTCCAGGTCCTCACAGCCACTGTAGTCCACATCCTGTGTCTCCAACTGTGTGTAGCAGGTGCCTGACCCCAGGCTGCCACTACCATCTCCTGAGGACCAGGCTGCAAATGCAGGAGCTTCACCACCTCTGTCCAGGCTGCTGCGGTCCATGACATGGTCTTTGGGCTGCCTGTGTCGCTCAATGTCTTCTTGGTCTACTTGGTCCCTGACATCTATATACTGCCTTTCCTGCTGTCTGTATGACCCAGAGCCTGCATCCCCTCTGTACCACTCTTCCCCTTCCCTATGTATTTGATTGCCTCCATCCTCTCTATGTTGCCTTCTCCCCACCCTATACTCCCCAGAGTCCCTCTCCTGCCTACACCACCTTTCCTTTTCCCCATAATGTCTTTCATGCTCACTGCAGTCCCTAGAATCTCTGTCCTCTTGATACCACCTTCCCCTTTCCCTATAGTCTCCAGGGCCTCTATCCTCTCCATACTGTCTTCCCCCCTCCCTGTACTGCCGAGGTATTCTGTCCTCTCTGTACCGCCCTTCTCTTATCTCAGAACTGCAGTCTCTGTATCGAACACCCTCCCTCTCATACACCCTATAGCGTCTACCTTCTGTATCCTGGCTTTTGCCTGCCCAAGCACCATCTGCTCTCCTGTCATCCACATACTGGATATCTTCCTTCCAAACACCTCCACAGTCTCCATTCATGCTCTGTCGGTCCATGGAGGTGCCCTCCCCCCTCCTGCAGCCGTCCCAGCCGCTGTCTGCTCCGTGGCAGCCTGGGTCCTGCCTCCTCGCCCTGGGTCTGTCGTTGCAGCGAGCCTCACCATGCAGTGCGGCCACGTCCTCTCCCCGCACAGAACAGTCCTCATATTCCCAGCCGAGGAGCCGCGGCTCCTGCCTCGGATCCTCCACACCATGTTTCGTCCTGGGATAAGTGCACATAGTCCTGCTGGGGTGTGGCGAAGGTGCTGACTCCTTTTGCTACCTGCTCCCCAAGCCCAAGCTCAGACTTGCAGACACTGCTTCTCCGCTCTGCTCCAGTGCTCCCGTCCCAAGTGAAACACGGGTTCTGCTTCCTGAAACTGGCCAGCAAGGGTACGGAGAGGCGCTGGCCCAATCGCTGCCAGTCCTGGCCTCCTCCACCTGCTGCCCAAAGTAATCAGTAACCAGCTCAGGAGGGAGGCTGGGGCTGGGCTGGCTCTCACTGCCCAAACCGGCTCCACGGCTTTGCCAAAGCCTCTCGGAAGGCGGCTCAGAGGCAGGGAAAAGGAGGGCACTGAAGCATGTGGAGGCCCTGCCCCAAAAGCAAGTCCTCAGGGAAGGGAAACAGAGAGACTGTGGGAAGCCACAAACCAGAGATGGGATACCAGATCTCCTTCCATGGCCTTCACAGTCCCGCCGGCACAGAGGCTAAACGACATAGTCTAGCAGAGGCTGGGCTCTGCTCCACACCTCATGGGGGAAAACCAAGGCCTTCAGGCTGTCCCTGGCTCAGATCTGATGCTGAGGCCACCCTTTTTCCAGCCCTCACCCACAGATCCTGGGAAGAGAAGGAGAGCAGCAGCTCCCTGTGTGAGAGAGCATCGCTGAGTGGTGCCTATCCAGGGCCACACAGCCACAGCTGCCTGGCTCCCTGCTCCAGGGCGAGCAGCTGGTCCACCTGCTGAAAGGGACAGGCTTGAAGGGACTATCTGGGTTACAGAGTCCTGTGCCAACACACAACCTAAGTTTCCAGGAGGCTATAGAAACACGCACTCCAGTAACTCCTCTCACTGCAGAGTGCAATGTATTCCCAGTTTGCCATGTCAAACGCAGGAGCTCCTATGAGAAACCGAGAGACGACCACACCATGCCCTAGATACAAAGCAGGAGAGTCCATAGATGCCATCCACATCTCAGGTTCTTGCAACACTTGTTAGGTATGCACAGCCAATGCTCCCAGCTGGTAGAAGACAAAAATAAAACCCATGGACACTCCTACTCCAACAGCAGGAGGGCAAGCACTAATCCTGCCCAAGCCTGGTGAACAGTGAAACCCTCAGTGTGCACACAAGACATGCCAAAGAAGCAACCTGCGAATTTTAAACATGTATTTTAGAAAATCACATACTTTCTGCTCTTCCTTTGGCTCCCCAAAGAACACACCAAGCGGCTGGGCTCTCACCAGCCCTACCTGTGTTTGCTGGTCAATGCTCAGGGAAAGCTTTTCTCCCTCCAGCATGCCTCCATGTTCCCCTAACAGCAGCAAGGCAGAGGCCACGCCTGAGGCATGGTGCAAGCATGTTTTGCTGAGGTGATGGCAACACCACATTACTGATCTACCCCACTGCACCACAGCTGGGCTTGCAAGCCCGAGACACGCTCTCTGGCCACACTCAGAGGTAGCAGGGGAGTTGCGACAGAGCGTAGGTAGGGCACATCTATCAGAGGACCAGAGAGGCTGCTTATAAATCCTCAGGTCTCTTGAAGTGGTGAAAAATCCCCTAAGACTACTAAAAGTATAACTTGACATGTAGGATGTTTCAGGGTGGTGTTAAGTTTCTGCCTGAACCTTCCAGTACCAGAGGTTCAGGAAACCTTTCCCCACAAGATACATCCCATCCGATTTCCTTTGATCCAGCCTAGATTTTCCTCTTCCTACCTTCAAGTTATTTCATCTAGCTTCAAATCCTCTAAGCCTCCTTCTAAGTATCCCTCTTGCATGCCACTGACGTGGAGGCTGTTTGTCACCCTGTTTCCCTGCTGCACCTGTATCATCCTTCGTTCCCATGTGCTCTGCATCAGACGCGATCCTGCAGCAAAGCGCCTGGGCTCCCCAGCACTGATAAAGCAGTGGGAGGATGGAGGCAATGAAGTCAGAGTGAGTAATCCCCAGGCAGGAGCTGGCATTTCACTCCACCTCCCGCGTGCAGTGCCTACATTTCCTGCACATCGTGGGTTTCGATAACAGAACTGCGGTGTCAGTGCTCCTGGGAGAAGCTGGGGAAGGGACTGTGGGAGATGTACGTGGTCCCGTCTTTCCATTCTGCCTGCTGTAATATCAAGTCTAATGTAATTAACAGCACTGATCTTTATATGGCATCTTTGGGTTTCAAAGCCCAAATGTGCTGATATAAACAGGGCAAATTTCTCTTCCCTGACTAATTTTTCTGGGCTATATGGACAAAAGCCCCCTTTTCAGCTGCAGGCATGCCGCAATTTAAAGCTCTCTGTTGCTGTTACCAACAGCAAAGCATCATTTTCCTGTCCTGGACACCATGAACAGCAGGAGCACAGAGGCAGGCTTTACTTTCTGCCCACTAACCCTCCCCCCCTTCCCACGCCAGGTTCAGTGCCATTCTGTGCATCCCCCTCATTTGACTGACAAGTCCCCAGAGGTCTGTATCACCACCAGAGCAGAAACCGCAGCAAACTCAGTGCCCTGACAGGCTGAAGGCAGTCACGCCACAGACACCACTGAGATCCTACTGCAGGAGCACCGTCAACGCCACTCTGAAGCTGCTGCTCACTCCCCTACAGCTAAGGAGGGATGAGGCAGGGAGGTTGGACCTGCAGCAGCTGTGGGTTTTGTTTGAGAGGAAGGCCACATTAGGAACAGATCAGAGAAGGGCTCTGGATGCATGGTGGGGCTGGAAGAAGAGATCAGAGAGTTGGAAGCAGAAGAGGGGGCGAGCAAGGCCATGTGAGGGATGTCCACAGAATGTCCCTGTGGTTCTCTGAGGCAAAATCATGATTTGTACCGCAACAATGCTTACAAAACCAACCAAAATCAGGAATTAAAGGAAAGACTGGCTTCAGCAGCGCCTGTATGTGGCAGGGGCCAGCTGTCCTCCTGAAGCACGCCCATCCCATGCCGCTGCAGACTCACCTCTCAGCTCCTGCAGCTCCATGCTCAGGCCCTCGATGTTGGAGTCACAGAAGTCAAGGTTTTCCAGGGTCTCCGCTCTCACCAGCTCATCCTGCTGCTCCTCCAGCATCAGGCTTAGCTCAGCGCGGGTCTTGCCATAAGCCTCCAGGTCTCGCTCCACCTCTCTGATCCTCGTCAGCAAAATGGAGCGGGGGGAAGCTGATCCTGCCCGTGTTGAATCCTCACGTCCCTCCTCCACCCGCTGCTCCTGGGCACTGGGTTGAAGCTGTGGAGGGGCCGCGTTCTTCCGCTGGCTGCTCGATGGAGGTCGGGGTGCAGGCCGGGAGGGCTTGACCGAGAAGGACAGAGACCTGCCTTTGGGCACCTGGCCAGCCAGCGCATGCACAGGGGTTGTCGCAAGACTGCTAGGGCGAGGAGGGGGTGGCCTCAGGGCCTTCCTCCTCTCTGGCTGCCTGGCGTGGGGGGCACACTCAGGAGACCCACGGACTATGTCCTTCTCAGAGCTGTAGTCCAAGATAGAGAAGTGGCGGGAGACCTTGTCCTGCTCAGCTCCAGTACTCGACAGGCTCTTCTCAAACTGCGCCAGCTGCTCTGTCAGTTTGGAGTCAAGGTCCGTGGTGCCATCCCCCTGCGCTGTGAGCGGACAGCAATCCCCCCAGCTCCCAGCCCATGTGTCCAGGCCCACCTGAGCACCTCCCAAGCTGGAGGAAGAATGTTTGGACTTCTCCTGTTGATTGTCCACCCAACCATCCAGGTCCTGTGCGCTGCTCTGGCTCTCCTGAGGCTTGGATGCTGCCCAGCTGTTAGGAGAAGAAATCACCTGGCTTCTGGAAGGATCTGGGGGGGAGTGAGGAGTCTGTGGGGGCACAGTGGGACTGCCTTCATCGTACTTAGGCAGGGTGTGAATTTCTGAGTCTCCTGGGGAGGCTGAAACTGTCCCCTCAGGCTCCACTTCACCTGCTTGGCCAGGCCTGTTGCCCCATTGGGGAGGCAGCTGAGCAGTGGGGAGAAGGCCATTGACTGTCTCTGTGCAGTCAAAGGAGGGGGAGTCTTCTGTGCCTTTGGGATGTGGCCCTTGCTGTCCTGTGCCAGGAAAGGCCTGATGCTGCTTCAAATCTGTGCCAAGGTGACCTTCTGTTCTCCCTGCCGTGTGAGACAAAACGGTGTCAGGCTCAGGGTGTGCATGCAAGCCATCCTCCTCTTCCCTGTCATCTTTCTCTGGCAAAGGAAGAGCTTTGAAGCAGGTGCTTTCTGGGTCTTGATGGATGGTGACCTGACAGCTGCCTTCACCTTGGGGATCTCCAGCACCCTTCTTTTCCCTGCAAGGCTCAGAAGCTTCCAGCCTCACAAATCTGTGTGGAAAGATGCCGCATTTCCCTCTCAGCTCCCCCTCTAGCCAGCCATCCTCCAGAATGCCTATGATCCGAATCCTGTCACCCACATCAAAATCCAGTTCCTTGGACTCCAGGGCTTGGAACTGATAGAGGGCCACACCATAGGTGCTCCCTGGCTCCTCATCCTCCTTGGGGGGTACCTCCACTGTCCCATTGGTGTCACAAGTCCCTGTGGGCTCTGGATCCACAGAGGCTCCTGGTGCTCGCAAAGGAGTGAGCAGTTCCACAAAACCCTCTGGGAAGATGCCCCTGTGGCCTCTGAGCTCGCCTTCAAACCAGCCAGGCTCTGGGACACCAACAATGTTGATCACATCCCCTTCCCTGAAGTCCAGTTCCTCCTCCAGCTGAGCAGACAGGTCCATCAGGGCCCGGGCTTGGCCCAGTGAGTAGGCAGGCACCTCCAGGAGAGCACTCTGGGACAGCTGATGGCTCCGAACTGAAAGGCACAGCTCCCGCACACATGATGAGGGGAAAAAGCCCTTGGAACCCCAGCTGCTTCGGCCCTGGAGCCAGCTGGAGGCCAGTGACCCCCCCAGGACCACGAGGTCTCCTGCAGGGAATGAGACACACCAGTTCAAAACCATGCTCATGATTGCTTCCCACCTTTTATTCCTGCCTCTCCATGTCCTTCCTGGCTGTGGGTAAGGTCTGGCACTCTGCACAGAGCACACTGCGTACTGGGGATATACAAGAGCACAGAACAGCGGTACGGCACAAAGCATCGGCAGCCTCTTGCACACACATATCTAAGAGATAGGGTTTTGGCTGCTAAGCCATGAAGTTGCACCAAGGCTTTGATTTCTGTCCCTAATGCAAGTCTAAGATTTGGGGACTGGAGGGCAGTTAACAGGCAGCTCTAAGTTTACTATGATCACACGACTTCAATACTGGGATAAAACTCCCAGTGTAAGTGCAGTATGAGAACTGGTATGAGAGTGGCAGAAGCCCAAAGGTCCATGGTAGATTTGACATGACCCATGTCATGAGGTATTAGGAAATTCCCTGTCTCTCCTGCCACTCTAGTCAGGATGCTGTGACTAGGTTCACGTTTCTGGAAGGACAGGTGAGGGTTATGAGATGTAAAGCAATGGAAGGGAATGGAGATTACCTCTTTGCAATGACAAGCTCCCTGGCTCTTGAGATGTGAAGTCACTGGTACAAACAAACAGTTTTTCTCCCTGCTTCAAAGGGGGAATATCCACAGGTTCCACAAAGCTGCTAGGAAACTGTCCTAAAACAAGAAGCAGTTGTTGACAGTGAGTCTTTCCTGTAGCCCACCACCACTCCCTCCACCCTCCTTTCAGATTTCGGGATCTATTAATCTCTTGCTAAAGCAAAATATCCACCTACCCAGGGTGCTTCAACAGCATGGTGGAAGAGGAACGAGTGTGGGAGCCAGGAATTCCTGAGGTTTTAAATGCTTAAGAGCTAACAGAGAACAAAAGCTTTGTGCCCTCGGCTCACTCCAGGCAACCAACAGGCTGTGTTTATTACTGGGACTATGCCATCAGCATGGAGTTTCTGGGAACAGACATACTAGGTTTTCTCTGACTGCTTGCTTCCCAGTTCAGAGCTGTGATGAGGGCGGGCAGACCCAGCAGTCCCGGACCACGGGACCAGTGTCTTGTCAGGATGTGGCACAGGATGTGGCAGAGCCCACTGCAAAGGCCACTAAAAAATGTTATTCATATCTTTTGTAATTTGTAGCAAGGGGATGTGATCAAGTATGTGCCAGTAGCTCTTCCAGCATTCACTCCTGATGAACCTATATGGCATCCATGTTCTCCAATAAAACCTGGAGACACTGTATCCTAGACATCCAGAATTTTGCAGTGGGTTTAGGTTTAGGCAGTTTGGCATCTGTTGTCATTAACCTGAGCTGCAACCCGCAGCCCACAGGCTGCTAGCTTCAGTGCCTTCCTTCACAGGTTCAACCAACTCTCTCTCTTTTTCCATGTCTTAAGTTTCCTGCTCTGTACATGGAAACAACCTAATGTTGTTAGAAAGGAAGTCATAGAGCTCCATTAATTATTGCCCACAGAGTATTATTTTTGGTAGGCTGCAGCACCTCCACAGCTTCTATTCAAAAGAGCTTTTTCCCTACCACTTTATCTTAGAAAACTGGGCAGAAAACTACAAAAAGGAATGCAAGTGAGTTTTGCGTTAAAGGTCAGTAAAAAACATTCGGTTTGACTTCAGCATGTTTCTTTATCTTTGAGCTATGACATACATCTGTTTATTATTCTTTAATAGAATCATCTTCTCGAGAACTAGCGCATCAGTTATGCTGGGAGACAAAACTGCAGTGACGTAGATAACTGGTGATTTCTGCAGAAGTAATCTGTGCCCAGTGACTTCAGCAGCAGGATCAGGCACGCATCTGTTCAATGCCATTTATCAGCTATGTGGACCACAGGAGAGAAGTCTTCCTCTCCACCTTTGCTCCTGTCCGTCTTTGTTTTAGGCAGGAGACAGCTCATGGCTGGTAGCAGAGCCCAGACTGCTGCTGTGATAGCAGCCCCATCTCCACAGTCAGGAATGACAAGCCAGTCCCACCTTCATGCTGAAAACAGTCAAGAGGCCTGGTTTTCATCTCCCTGAGAGCTCACACATCCTCTCGACATCAGTATTAAGAAGAGAAAGAGCTGCTTAAACAGGGACTAAGAGACTCTTGTTTCATTAAGAGCATTTTGCTGCTTCAAAGTTTTTCACACCCATCCAAAAGTTTAAGAGACTTGCACACTACTTCAGACACCCAGATATTGATGGAAGCTTGTACAGGAAAATGCTTTAAAGCGGAAAGGAGGAAGTGGGGCTGAGTCAGAAGGCTTGGAGGGACACACAGACTCTGTCACTGTGTCTCCCACTGACTTGACCTGACGAGGTCACTTGGATGTGGATGCATTTCCACTCTCAGTGCATCTGTTTCCTCTCTCCCCTTCCACTGCCACAGCAGGTCAGCACATAAACCGGCCAGGAAATGGGCTGTCTCACCAGAGGACGGAGCAACTAGTATTGTGAAGCTCTCAGCTCCTCGAGAACTGACCCTCCACTAATCTCTCTCAAAAAATGAGCTGTCAGAATAGTTGACGCAAAGCTGACAGACCAGTGGCAGGCAACCTGCACCCTCAGTCCCAAGCAAAGTCCCATGAAGGATTTAGTAAATCACATCTGGTCCTGCACAGTGCTGGCCAAGGGAAGGCGTGCTCATGGAATGGACGTTTAGCTGGCATATCTACGAATCCAGGTGCAGGCGCTTCCAGATCTTACCTGTGACACCTTCCTTCTTGCCGAGGAGCCAGAACTCATCCACCACAGCCAGCACCTCGATGACATCTCCCACAAAGAGAGGCAGCTCTTCAGAGACGCTGGGACAGAAATCAAAGACTGCTCGTACCACGGAACCAGCCTCCATTGTGTGGGGTCTGAAGGCGGATCAGCACCTAACGCTGAGACACAACAGGAAGTTTGTTAGCAGACTGAAACACCTGAAATTATCACATAATATGCTCAGAAAGTAAAACCCTTCCTAAGCACAGGAGGCAGGAACAGTGCAAGGGGGTCCTGTCCTGAGTTCCCTGAAACCCCTCTCCATGTGAGGCATGCCACAGGAGACAAGGGTCTCCAGCAAGGCAGCCCCCATGGTCTAACCTGCCTTGTCCAGCCCCTTTGGTTATTTCTGTGGGGACATGTGTTTGTACTGCCACGGGGGGAGAAGCAGCAAGAACACTGGAAGTGAATTCCCGTCAGGAAGGAAGCAAGAGGAGGGGAGGAAGCTCAGCGCTTCCCTGACATGCAGGGCAGGGCTCTGAGCCCACCAGGGCTGGGTGGGCAGATAGCACCACTCACTTGCATTGTCCCACCACGCATGCTCTGGTGGGATGGGCACAGGCATCCCGCTCCCAACACCACCGCTCAGGGCCACAGGAACTGCGTGCTGGAGCAGCGTCACTCTTCTGCCCAGCAAGAGAAGAGGCACAGATTCCACTCGGGCAAGCTCACCACACCATCCTCTTCCCTGCTGGTGAACTCTTCCCACCCTCGCCTGGGCTGACGCATCCTGGGCATCCTCAGACCTGGCTGGAAATGCCCCTTCTGCCTTCTAGGTACGAGGCTCAGACATCCCCTGGGAATCCTTGGTAGAAGCCAGGCTGAGATCAGGGTGCAGACCCTGTTCAAGGCTCTGGAGCCAAGGCTGAAATTCCCCCTAGCAGGGAACCTGAAGGTGGGCAAAGATGTCCCAATCAAAGGCTATGTCCTGGATTCCCCCTTCCTCTGGAAGCAGCTGCTGAGCCAGGACACTTTCCTGTGTCATCTTTGCTTTGTACCAAACAGCTTAATTATCAAGGCAACGCACCGTACCAAGGCAGCAGCAGTCCTGCAGCTTCAGCTGCTCCTTCCCCTCCTCCCAGATCCCTTGGGAGGGGAACTCAAAGGTGCATCCGCTCAAGGCAACCAGGAACCCTAAGATTATTCCTCAACATCTGCACCTCAAACTGGTGAGTGCTTCCCTTCATCTTCCCGTCCCGCTGCAATTACGGGCAGAGCACGGACTGCTGACACCTCTCCAAGGTGCATTCAGAACCCTGCTCTCTGCGATGCAGACGGGATCCTCCCGTCACAGAGTCCCTGCTCCGTGCGGTCGGACACAACGTCACTGCAACGGGACCCAACCTCCTCCCCTCCTGAAGCGCCTCTACGTGCAGAGCGAACAGTCACCCTCCAAGTGCCGCCCAGCCGGCAATACCCGTCCCGTACTCAGCACGGCTTGTCAAGCCATCCCGCCTAGCTAACACAGCAGAAAGAGCCCCGTGACGACACACACCACCACCCACAGGAAACACACAGGGCCCCCAGGCCCCCGTGTTTCTCCACACAGCCCACCTGTATCCTGGAGAGTCAGGAAGAGGGGAAGCTTAACACAGGGAGGAGAAAAACATCCCCGCTAGCGAGGTGCAGCCAACTTCCAGCCAGAGTGCCAGCAGGAGATCCAGCCAGGGAAAGGCCTTCTGCTGACGGGACTGCTCTGTTTATCCAGTCCGACTCACCTCCCGGGAACAAAGTGGGTTTGTACTCGGCAGGAACAGCTTCCTCAGCACGTCCCTCTCCACCCCCAGCTGTGCCCCTGCTGCAGCCAGCATGCTGCGCCCCGGCCCCCGGCCACTCTCACCTCTGCCGCCCCGTCCGCCACTCCTATAGCTCTCCACTGCCTTTCCCGTAGCACGTGGGCTCCTTGGGGCACAGGCTGTCTCTTTGTCACCAGCGTTGTGCTGGCTGTACAAACAAAGAGCCCAATATCCAGCAGCCGACAGCACTCTGCCACCAAAAAGAGATGAATGGACTGGAGTGAATCAGGAGCACAAAGAGCTGCAGTTCAGGGTAGCAGGAACCTACTGAGGCAGAAGGAGCAACAGTATTAAAACCATGACCATGTGGAGCAGGGAAAAAGATGGAAGAGCCATCAATTAGCTTGAAAATAGCTTGTTTGAGGTGGGGTGGCTGGGAGAAGCTGCTGCATGCTCTGACGGGAATAGGAGAGGAGCAGCGACAGGCGCAGCAGTAGCTGCCGCTTGCAGGCACCTGGGGCTGCCCTCCACCCTGCTCACTCAGCTCCGGGTCCTAGGAATCCTTGCCAAACTCGGAATATGCAAACTTCACAGCTGCACTGGACAAAGTGGGAAAAATAATTGCCACAATAATTGCTGCCTCGGGGTAGTTTCTCCAGGAATACACGATGGTACAGTGAGATTTCTTGCATCTTTTCTGTCAAAGGTGTAACCTAAGAGTGGGTGTAACGCATGGTGTGTGCTGCAGACTCAAACCCTGGCTTTGCTGCAACCGCTGAGGCTGGGGATACAGCCCTCCCACTGCCCTGGGCTCGGATCCTGCCCATGAAACAACAGTGTCACTTCTTTAACGCACCTGCAGCTCTGGGGACTCACTCATTAAAATGTACATGATTTTCCAACGTGACAGAAGATCGAGAGGAGCGGGCAGGATTGCAATTGTTCTGCCTTGTATATATTAATGGCAGTTATAATAAAACATGGGCACTAACATATTCATGTGAAAAACATTCCCTGAGAGCCTGCCAATGAGGCAAGAAAGCATGAAGTAACCGCTGGAAGTGCCAAAAAAAGAATCCCAACAAGCTCATGTTCCCTCAGGAGTACCAAGAAGAGCAGGATCACTCCCTGACTCCATCAGAATCTAGACAGTATGCCCCTGTATTTGAAAGCAGTGAATCAGTCTTGTGGGGTTTGCTTGCTCCATAACATGAACTGAACACAAAATATTATGTTTTCCAGGATCTTGGCCTTGTCTTACTCCATGGAGTGCTGCCTGCCAACGTTTTCTCCAAACCACACCTAGAGAAGGAAGCCTCCCAGCATCTTCTACACTGGAAACTTACTGAATCCAAATCTTCAGGCTTAACAGTGGACCCCAGCTTCTCCCAGATCCACCCTAGACCTGGCGAAAACAGACATCCAGCAGTAGCTTGCGCAGAGGCTCCATCAGGAAGAGCAGATTGCAGGGGGAGCTGGGCTGCGCTTGCGATCCCCAGTGAGTCACGGCTCCTGGCTCAGCACCATCCCCTCTCACCTCAAGAACGGGTGATCCCTGCCTGCCGGGGGGGGACAGAGGGAGGGCTCCTCCGCAACTGAGCAAACACCAGGACCTCACGCTGGCAGGGGTCAGGACTACGCGCTGCAGGCCTCTTGCCCCCGCCCAGCAGCAGACCCACATCCAAAGACAGCCTCACTGTGCAAGTATGAAGCTGCAGCGAGCGGCGCACTCGCCCCGCTGAGAACACGCTGTCTCTGTCTCGCTGCCTGATCCTGCGCAAACTAGGTAACGTGTTCATGGCGCCTGACGGCAGCCCACCCGGTGCCAAGCTCCGGGCCTGACACAACAGCATTGTGCAGCAAGGCAGAGAATGGATTCCCAGTGCATTAATCACTCCCCCAGCCTGCCGGCATGCTTGCTCAGCGCACATTACCTCCATGGAAGACTGCCTATCCCATTTTGCCATTAGCTCTGGAGCATGTCTGGTCCAGCGTGGGCTGATGAAAGGAGGGACCAGAATGAAATGAGGGCTATTAACTCTGTTACAATATTATTTTGAGACCTTCAGCACAGATTGGATCAGGCCACAGCTGCCAACAGAAGGCTTTTACACACTGACTCAGACAACTTCTCGCATCCCTCCTCTCTTTTTGCAGCTGAAATCGGGCAGTGTAAGTCTCAAACAATGGCCTGGCCAGCACCAAATTATTGTCAAGCATTTGCTCAAAATTCCGTTGCCTGCATGGCACCAGACCTACTGAAGATGATGATATAAATGCGCTTTTTGAATCTTTTTAATGGTAACTGTGAGCAAACAAGTCTTTGATGAACTTCTGTACCTCAGAAACAGGAGTTCTGTCTTCCCTTTTTTTGCTGAAAGACACTGAAGCAAGGATTTCAAGCACTTAAGAGCTAAGGCAGCAACATGAAGAGACCACTTTAGGCTGATTACAAGGAGTATTAATAGCCCCAGTAAAAGCACAGACCCAAAGGGTTTGCAGACAGATAATCTGGTGGTAGACCCAAAGCATTGATCAGATCATGAGATAAAAAGCAGTGACGGATGGATGCCACAAATTTAGCAGAAAAACCCACAAAACTTCATGGGTGGTATCACCACTTGTTTCTCTCAAAATAACACCTTTCAGCTTCTCACTCAAGAGGCAGCGCTGTTAGAACTGGCTATGGTCAACATGACAGCACCGTCACTGAAAAACTAACAATTCACCAAACAGACCAAAACACGCAGTGTGAGCACACTTGGTTTGCATGAGGGACAAGTGGATTCTTGCGCAGCAGATGTCTCAGTCTCTATAAAAAACTTGCAGCCTGCCTGAGCAACAGACCAGGAAGAAGTCAGACTCCCAGAAATGTACAAAAGCCAAGTTTGTCCCAGAATGACTAAAGAAATTAATATTAAAAATATGAAACAATACTGCCAGTGATCTTTTTTAAACTGAAAACCACCATGCATTTCACCTTGGTCTTTTGAAGGCTCCTTACACTCGTGGTAACTCAATGCCTGTTCACTGAAAACACAATCCATCCCCAGAGATGGAGGTACCCTGTTCAGTGCACCCTCCAGCTGCTGGGTCTGGCTTCGACAGGAGGTTGGCTGCACTGCACTCCAGACGGCAGGATCAGTGGGAGGAAACCAGGAGTGATGCTTGGCTTCTCACACCATTGTGCCAAGAACTGAAGCTTACCAACTACGTGCTGAGGCACTCCTGCCCTTTTCCTGTTCCTCACTGTGGTCTCCAAACCTGGCCACCCTTCCTTCCCTACCTCCTTGCCCCAGTGCACCTGCACAGCCCTCAGCTGCACTTTGGGTTAGGCCATTGCCTGCAC